CACTTCATTATGGATAGGCACACTTGCATGAAACCTTGCTCATAGAAAAGTACTTTTGGCAGTTTTGAGTCGTTACTGTCTTTATTGCTGTTGTTTTAGTATGCCAATCAGTTTTCACCAAAATCATTACTAGTTTCGGCATGGTAGAGTTTTTGGTTTGCCGTTTGCGTAAATACGAGAATTTGGCCGGTAATGTTCGGCAGTGTGGTGATACAGACATAGTGACTTATGCGTGAATTAGCTTTACGGGCAACATTAGTTTAAATAATGCACCTCATATCCCCCTAGCCCCAGCATTTTATCCTATAAAAACGGTTATTATATGTGTTTTATGGGCGGGGAATTAGGATAGGATATTTTTTATTTAAAATTATTGTTGATTTATCTCTGTTGATTTTCCTAATCTGTATTGTTGTTTAAGGTATTGCGTGAAAGCCCGATTATCTAAATGCAGGTTTCTTAAAATTCCTGAAAAAATCTAAATTGTGGTTAGGAGGTCACCTACTTCAACTTATCTGGGGTCCAACTTACCGTTCTGAAGTTAGATTAGTATATTTCGCGGCGCGAAGCGCTGCGCACACCTTCAGTTTACATGCGGAACAACTTACCCCCAGCAAGAAACAACTTCAACTACATTTTCCCGCTTTACACTGTCTTATACAAATTTCTTTCACTGCCTATCCTATTTCTCCACCTCAAAAACCCCTATAACCACCGTTTACGTAGGACAGAATGCTCGGACGAGGGGTACACGAGTTGCACTACCTAAACTATCTTTCCTGATTTAAGTGATAGTAGACTTGCATTGCATCTACTGCAGTCTCTCTTTGCTCATCCACCTGAGTCGGTGTCATGGCAAAGTCAATAAAACGGGAAACGGGATCGGGCATAAGCCGTCGGAACCGCCATGTCTGACTCAGATCTCACGGGGTGGGACTGTCATAAAGGTCACGGTGGTTAACGCCTGAGTCTGCACCTACGCGTGCAACCGTCGCAGGGTGTCGTGTCGACAAGCAGGGGTTTTCCCAAATCAAAAAACAAGCAAGATGGTGTTGGTGGACAAAACATTTACTGCCGGAAGGTGGACGGTACAAAGGCTTTGTTTTGCACCAGAGCCAACTGCGAGTGCTCGCCAAGTCGGTCCGCGAAGTTGTGTATGCTGCTGCGAAGCCCTGAGTGCGCAGTGTGTCCTTAGCCACTTAGATGGCAGTGCGCGCATGGA